AGGATTAGGAAAGTTGTCAGCCTGGCTCAGGTGGTGGTGCTTCTGCCCCTGAGCCAAGCCCCACATCTGGACTTCGAGCTCATAGTCTAAAGTACTGGATTGTCACAGGTGCCATCCTTCAGATGAGATGTTAACCCAAGGGAGGCTGGTCTGCCTGTTCAGGGAGATATTAAAGATTTTGGTGGCGCTATTTGAAAAGAGACAAGAGTTTCGTGGCAAATAATCCCCCAGATGAAGTTGGTCAGTCACTAGATGCCTCTTGTCCTGCACACTCAGACTGGAGGTGTTAAACCTGCTCTAGATGTGCTCTAATTAGACATATATTTGTCACGGAAATTAGTGATAAATGGGAAATTGTCTTATTTTAGTCACCGTGGCCCCTTAGCAATTCATTTAATTAGTAATTTGCTTTTTCTGTGCTAATAGATTGTCCGTCTGACTAATTAGCAACTCTAAATGCAAGTTAGCACTGTGACACCTCAAGTACTTTTCACAGTAACCTAACAGTTCTTCCAAGAATTAATGATTTGATTATTTTTAAAACAATGTTCAATGGGATTCACTCCCCAGCTCAGAAAGCCACGCACAGCGGAGTCCTAATGATGAGAGCGCATGGTGTTACGCTTTGGGCAGACATCACTGCAGTGAGAATGATTCACCCTCCACTCATTCAGGGTCCTATAGAAGGTTCTTGGGTTCTTATGTATGTGGAACACTGCTGTGTGCAATTGGCTGCTGTGTTTCGCCCACAAAAAAATACAGTCAATTCACTTTACAGTCTATTCTGTGAAGCGCTTTGAAACATCTCGAAGACATGATAAAGAGCTACACCAGATGCAAGGATTATTATTATTGGAGTTGGCTATGCTGTGATCCTTCCAACAATTTTAACAGGCTCCAGAGGCAGTGAAGAGGAAAGCAGCGAGGATGATCCCTGGGATTACAGGGATGAGCCGTGAGAAATAATTAGATAAACTAGGGCTCTTCAACCTTGAAAATAGATGTCACCGAGGTGACCTAACAGAGGTGTATCCACTTCTAACTGGGATGAAACAGTAAGGCCAGAAGAATGCTTTCACACACAGCAATCTCAGTAAGAACACGAGGCCACAGGTTCAGGAGTGAGCAGGGTAATTTCAGGACAGACACCAAGAAGTATTTCCTTACACAGGTCATTATTAATTGAAACTGAGGCTGGATTTATTTAAGAAAGAGCTTGATGGCCGTGCTGAAAAGGTTGTAGGGACCACATTCGGGAAGGATGAGATCAAATAGGAAGATGGGTCCAAACTTCCTTCTAAAATAACGAGCACAATTTCACCGTAGTTGTCGTAGGACGAAGGGAGTGTAAAGCTGTAATTTCTGTGTTTGCTGCTCAAATCAAGCCCTGTTCCCCCAGCTATTCATTGCTTCCTCTCACTTTCCCCAGATTGGACCGTGTGCTGTGCTACTCTCTGAAGCTGACATCTTGACTTATTTTTAGATTTCGGATGATAAACACTGAACCGCGCTCAGGCTGCGTTTGGCCTTTTGGGGTTGACTTGAAATGCTGTCACTGTCCAGCGCCTTGGGACGTCATCCCAACGTGAAAGGCGCTGTACAAATGTAATCTTGTTGTTGATAAGCCGTTGCTCGATGGGGAAAAGGCACAGGGTGTGGGGCTGAGACAGTGGCCATTGCCAGGTGTGGCTGTGAAGAAGGTTTAAACGACACAACCTCCCTGTTGAGTACTGGGTGCAGCAACTGTCACAACACAGCGTTTACAATGTTTGAGTCCTTGTCTGTGATCGCTATGAACTTGAGACAGTGGGAGGAACAGTCTCCACTTTGACAAACAGTTGTACTGATGTGCGATTTCCTGGTGTTTTGCTGCAGTTCTGATGTCCCAGTTTTTCTCTTCAGTCAAGGTTATACAAGAGCTTGTTTTAAAAGTTACAAAGTAAGTCAGCCGTTCTCTGTAAACTAATTTAATGGCACCTTGTGGAAAGTGTGTCACAGCAGGAGACTTTCTGCAGAGCCACATGTAATAACCATCCTTGCATGTGATGTCGCACCTTATCCCGTTGTCAAAACATCCCAAAGCGCTTCATAAAGATTTACTGTAAATTCTCTTGTCTTGTGTAATGGTGAACACGAAACGACAGCTTAATTGGAGCACAACAATGTCTCACAAAATGGCCACAAAGTGAATCAGCCATTTTATCAGTGACCAGGACACCAGGAGAGAAATTCCCTTCAGTGAGGATTACAGTAGAGGCTGTGTTAAGGAATAGCTTTATGATATGGTTCAATACAGCATGATTGAGAGGCAGCAGTGCAGGAAGCCCTGGGTTTATGTTCAACCGCTGATGGCAAGCCCCTGTTTTGCATATTATGTGTGTTAGACTAAGCTGCTCTCTTGCTAACAAGAATGAACAATGGAGCTGGAAAACCAATTCTCTACACTGACATACTGACTAACAAGTCCTACGCTGCCCTCACTACACATACCCATCACCAGCCTCTGCCACCCCATCCTCTTTCTGCCTTAGCTGCTGTACATAGGAACAGGAGGAGGCCATTCAGCCCTTGAGCCTGTTCTGCCATTCTTTAGATTATGGCTGATCTGTACCTCAACTCCAATTATATGTATACTGCTAGGTAAGTAGAGGCGTGTGTATTGAGTAAGGAAACTTGCCACGTGTTTTGTCTTGCCCGAGAATCAAACCCAGGTCCTAACGTTTGCGAGATGAGGGCTCTAACCACTGAGCTACACATTCACATTCTCACCACCTTCTATGTAAAAGGTTCCTTCTAAGTTCTGGTAGATTGATTACATTGATGCCCCTTGTTACAGACTCCCCAACAAATGGAGACTGTCTATTTACATTTACCTTATGAAACCCACCTTCATAATGTAAACCCCTCTTAACAGGTTAGTCCACAGTAAAGAGCTCTAACATGCCTGGTCTTCCCTGATAGTTGTTCCTGAGAACATCAACAGTAAATCTAGATCTGCTCTGAAGAAACATTCTTGAGCCTTAGTAATAATCATGTTAAATGTTGTTATTATTATTATAATAATTATTATTATTAAAGTCGAGTGATTAAACGGTTTGCGTTGCTGCCGGCTGTGGTAACGGTTCAGAAATGCTTTGATGGTGCCTTAAGCCTGGGATCCAGGGATCATGGCTGCTGTTGAGATTTACCAGGAAAGCTAATTAAATCATGTGGTGCTGTACAAGGAGCAAAACAGCAATTGATTCAGCAACAGCAAGGCAAGAAACCTTCCCCCTTTTCTTTCATCCATCTCGGGAGAATCCGCTTTGATTTAAGAGCGACTTCCATTTTCCCTCCTTTTATTTCCTAATTGTTAAGATGGAGATTTTTTTCCTCGGGAGAGTGGGATTCCTCCCATTTTCCAGCCACAAACAGCGGAAGGTTTCAGTGCCTGGCGTCATTGTTAGTAAGACACTGGCCTGAAGTTTTCAGAGCTATGCTTCAGCTTATAGAGACATGTTAATGAGCCAAATGCCTAGAAAAAAATGTAATGTGATCACTCAATTCACGACTGTTGTGGGACACTGCTGAGCGAGATTGGCTGCTGCGTTCCGCCCACAAAATATGCAGTCACTACACTTTACAGTATGTCCTGTGAAGCACTTTGAGACGTTTCCGAGACGTGATATATCAGGCGCTGTATGAAATGCAAGGATTATTGTTTTTGATTATCCAGCAGACGACAGATAGTTTATCCCCCTACTTACCTGCCCGTACCCTGCGTTCCTCTGGCTCTGGTCTGCTCCACATCCCCCGCCCTAACTGCCCTACTATCGGTGGCCGGGCCTTCAGCCTCTCAGCCCCGAGGCTCTGGAACTCCATCCCCCAGTGCCTTCGCCTTCGCTTCCTCCCTTTCCTCCTTCAAGGCCGGTCTCAAGACCTTAGTCTTCAACCGTGCCTTCAGCTCCCCTCTCGACTCTCTACCCCCTCCTCACTCCCTCCCTTCCCTCCCCTCACCCTGACCATTTCCCCCCTCCTCACCTCCTCCCTTCCCTCCCCTCACCCTGACCATTTCCCCCCTCCTCGCTCCCTCCCTTCCCTCCCCTCACCCTGACCATTTCCCCCCTGCTCGGGTCCCGACCCAACAGTCCAGCGCCTTGGGACGTCCTCCCGACGTGAAACGTGCTCTATAAATGCAATCTTGTTGTTGTTGTTTATAAAAATTACAGAACGAAACATCTTAAGGTAATGCAACAACAATTTGGCAAATTGTGGGCGCTCTGAAACGTATCGTAAACGGAGTAAATGTGAGACGCGGCTGGATTTCCGTGTTGTCCTGTTGAACAGTAAGTTCACAGTTAGTGTCCTGGTGCTAGATCTTACATGTAAGGGGCACGGAGTGATGCTGAACGGCCTTTGCACTGAATGGAGCTGGGAATGAGCACGTAATCACCCTGAGTCTGAAATGATAAGATCTACTATTTCTTTTCTGTGGTTTATTTGACGTTATGTAGTGTATAAGAGTTTATATAACAAAAAGCTATTGCAAGGATTAACTGTTCTAAATATTTGGGTCAATCACTGTCTGTTCTTACAGCTGGAGCGTATCGCTGGTATTATATCAATTTCATCACATTGTCATTGGTTGCCATGTAGCACAATCCGAGGAAGGGATTAGAGCCTTATCTGATGAAGGGCCCGTCAATTTGTTCCATTTCCACATCGCCATCAAGTCACCTGAAAGTTCACAAAACGCTTCAAACATTTGCTCCTCAAAGAAAAGAAAAATCTTTTTAACGTCTTGAAATGTCCTTGTAACCTGTTCACTTACAAACAGACCGATGTTAAGTTACAAACAGACTCATGGTTCCTTGTTACGAGACTTCGGAAACCTGAATGGATCTGACCCAAGAACGAGTGAGCGAGCGAGAGGACTTGGGGATTGAGTTTGGGTGAATTGGATATTGTGATCTCCACAAAGAGAGACGTGCATCATTATAAAGCTTGTCTTTATTATTTAGGTGGAAAGACAATGTGGCAGAAACACATTGTGAACATTGTAGTCTGGGAAAGATACAGAGGAGCTTGTGAGGAGGAGCCTCTCCCTAACCCCAGTGAAGATCGATGGTGTCTCTGGCACAAAGCTCATCTACCATCAAGATACAGGCAATGGGCATGTGCTTTGGATGAAAGGCATTTTAGCCACAGTGTAATGGAAAGGTTAGTGATAAGAAACACAGTGTTTCTGTAGACTGGAGCTCCCTCCCATTGACAAGATAAAGCAGGAAAGTAAAATCTTAAAGCAGGGACTATACAACGCAACACAAATTATATAGCACCTCTCACCTCAGCAGGACATCTCATTGTGCTTAACACAGCAGCTGAAGTTAGTTACCCAGCGCCTTTAGGGAAACTTCCCCTCAAATCATTTCTACGGATGTATAGTGTTATGACTGTGTCTGTGTGTGTGTGGACGTGTATATACATATTGCCTCAAAGTCAAACTGTGATGCTAAGCAGGGAGAGCATGGTAAAACCATCAATGATACAATCAGATTGTTTTCTGTGTCTGGGACTACAAAGATACTCTTATCTTAATTCCTGGAATTTTATTAAAACTCATCTTGGGTGGGGAAATCCCCAAAGAGATCCTAATCTTCCTCTAAATCTCCGTACTGGCACACAGGAGATCATTATGAATCGCTCAGAAGCATAACTTGTTCCTCATTGGGTTTCTGCAGTAGTTGGTTGCTGTCGCTCGTTCAGTGATGGGACATGTGTTAGAGAACCTGTATTCCTTGATTGGAATTGCTTACATCAATAATAATATTCCTTGCATTTGATATAATGCCTTATCACGTCTATGAGACGTCTCAAAGCACTTCACAAGATACACTGTAAGGTGAATTGACTGTATATTTTGTGGGCGAAATGAAAATCTCAAAGTGTTTACAAGTTTTCCAATTATTATTATTTTTGTTGTTATTACCTGACCTGACCTGGGAGCACAGCACCTGGTTTGCTAGAGCTGTAACTAGATTTAACAACAGTGCAATGATACAACAAATGTTTACGTTGAGCCAAGTGAAGGTGAGTACTGTGTTCAGATAAATTAATGTCCGTTCACCAGGGGGGGGTTGGAGCCACGATAATGGGATCAAATAGCCAAGCAGCAGCCAAGGAGAGTACACGTCTGACACTGGGCAAACGTGGCAGAAATCAAACTCAATTGAAGAAAAGATCAGATTAAACACACGGCAAATGGCTCTGTCAATCCCGGGAGCTGGCAAGCTCATCACAGTTTACAATGTCAGCAAAACTGCTTCAGTCATGAAAGGGGGGGACAGAATTGCAGTGAGCGAGGCTGGTATAATACAGTACCCCTTTGATCACTTTCACTTTAGGCTGTGTGGGCAAAGGAAAAAAATCCTGCGGTTTTCACCAGCGACCCAGATAGAGGTCTTCTCAGTCCAAATGAGGAAAGCAGCGACTTAACTCCTGACAAATCTAACTTCCAATATCTACAATTAACGAAACTTAATCTCATTCGCTTTACTTGCTCTTGACATAGTTTTCTTTCCTTGAGGTTTCGGGTCTGTAATCTTCTGCACAAAATGTCTGCCTCTTCCAGAGACTAAACTCTTCAAATCAAGTGCGCGGGTTGGCTTAAGATTTTATATTATCAGGTGGCACCCACATTGATTAAAATGTTCTTATCACAATCTGGTGGTATCTTTTGCCCAAAATGCCGTCCGTCATTCAGTGGGACAAGGATCTTGCTCTGTCTTTCCATGATTGTGTTTGTTCTTCAAGATTTGGTTCCAGTTGAACGATTGGTTCCTGAACGTTAGCTCACACCCTCCAGGAGATACATAAGCGTATAAAGTCTCAAAGATCCCAAAGTGGAGCAAGAGTTTGATCACCGTCAGTGCCTTCAGAGGTCCTGCCCAGGGCCTGGCCAGGGCTGTGTGGTTGCTTAATCTGGTGGGTGTGGAGTTGTGTTGCAAGGCACATTCATTACAATTGAGATATCTCTGGATGTTCATGCCCTTTGCTTGTTCCTTCTAAAGTCTCCTGGTTCCTCCTCCTTCTCTAGCGTGCTAGAATATGGTGTACCATTCGATGCTTTATATGTGCACGCATTAGAATGGTGTTCAGGTTTGGACGTCCAATCTTAAGAAGGATTGGAGAGTGTCCAGTAACAATCACCAGATTAATACAACAATAACAACAAAATGACATTTGTTTCACGTCGAGAGGACGTCCCAAGGCGCTGGACAATCAGGGTTTCGGATTGGAGCTGGGAGTCGGGATCGAAGAGGGTAGGGGGTGAAGGAGGGTTGCCGAAGGCACGGTCGAAGAGGAGGGTCTTGAGACGGGTCTTGAAGGAGGTAAGGGAGGGGGCGAGGTTGAGGGACTGCGGGATGGAGTTCCAGAAGGTGGTGGCAGAGTGGCAGACAGCCCGCCCGCCAATGGCGGGGTGGACGAGGCGGGGGACCCGAAGCAGTCCGGAGCCCACTGAGCAGAGGGAGCGGGCAGGTTGGTAGGGATGTTCCAGCGCCTTGGGATGTCCTCCCGACGTGAAATTCGCTCTATAAATGTAATTTTTTTTATTGTTTTAGAGAGGAGCAAGGCCATGGAGGGCTTTGAAGGTGACAACCAGGATCTTGAACTGTATCCTCTGTGTGATGGGAAGCCAGTGGAGTTGGTCAAGGATGGGGGGTGATAGTGTCGCAGAGCCTGGTGCAGGAGAGGACATGGGCTGCATAATAAGGGGAGTTTGAAGGGAGTGCTGGATAATACCTGGGCTGAAGGGGCTGAGGTATGTTGAGAGGTAGCTAGACTGGTGTTATATTCCTTAGAGCAGAGGAAGTTTACGGGTGATTTGATTGAGGTAAAATAATTATAAATAATTGTAATAATTGTAGTGTCAGCCTGGACTGGCGTTCAGTTGTGGATGTAGTATTGTTACGTAAGGTGTCAGCCTGGCTTAGTCGCTGGCGCTTGCAACTCTGGGTCAGAAGGTTATAGGATCATATCCCACGTCAGGATTTGAGCTGATGGTCTAGGCTGACACTCGCACAGAGCTGTAAAGTGCTCTGTAACGTTCAGGGTTATTGACGCTGCATCAGATGCACGACCTATGATTGTTATTTGCATTTTCTCAGGTTTGTGCGATGAACTTGATCCGTTGCTGTGAAAGAAGAGGAATTTATGACACAGAGACTGACAGGCAGGTGGGATAATGTAACAACAACAAGATTACATGGGTATAGCGTCTTTCACGTCGGGAGGACGTCCCAAATTCCTCGACAGCATTTCAGACCCGAGCTGGGGTCGGGGGAGAGAAGGGAGGGGAGGGGAAGGGGTTGACCGATGGCGTGGTCGAAGAAGAGGGTTTTGAGGCGGGACTTGAAAGAGGCTAAGGAGGGGGCGAGGCGGAGGGATTAGGGGCTGGAACACAAAACATTAGCTCTGTCTCCAGCTGGGGCGTACCTCAGTCAAGCTGTGTAAAGCACTTTGAGACATCTTCCAACAGGAGGATTATTTATTATACTTATAATTGTCTGCCCAGCCCCAGCCCCGGCCCCGGCCCCAGCCCCGGCCCCGGCCCCAACCCCAGCCCCGGCCCCAGCACCAGCCCCGCCCCCGGCTCCAAACCCAGCCCCGGCCCCAGCCCCAGCCCGCCCCCGGCTCCAACCCTGCCTGGCTTTGCTCATCTTAACAACAGCAACAACTTGCATTTACACAGCGCCCCTCACACAGGGAATCGTCCCGGAGCGCTTGACAGTGGCGGAGCACGACACTGAGCCGGGGGGGAGGTGACCGTAGGGCATGGTCGAAGAGCAAGGTCTCCAGGCACAATTTGGGGAGTGGGGAGCAGGGAATGGGGAGCGAGGAGTGGGGAATGGGGAGCGAGGAGCAGGGCACGGGGAGTGGGGAATGGGGAGCGGGGAGCGGGGCACAGGGAGTGGGGAGTGGGGAGTGGGGCACAGGGAGTGGGGAGCGGGGAGTGGGGAGCGGGGAGTGGGGCACAGGGAGTGGGGAGCGGGGAGTGGGGAGCGGGGAGTAGGGCACAGGGAGTGGGGGAGTGGGGCACAGGGAGTGGGGGAGTGGGGAGTGGGGCACAGGGAGTGGGGAGTGGGGAGTGGGGCACAGGGAGTGGGGAGCGGGGAGTGGGGCACAGGGAGTGGGGAGCGAGGAGCAGGGGGGGAGTGGGGAATGGGGAGCGGGGAGCGGGGCACAGGGAGTGGGGAGTGGGGAGTGGGGCACAGGGAGTGGGGAGCGGGGAGTGGGGCACAGGGAGTGGGGAGCGGGGGACGTGGCAGTTGGGGGGACGGAGATGAGAGACTTTCTTTATATGAACATTTTTCATGTTCCTGAGTGTGGAGCAGGTGGGGAGGGGGCGTGGCTTACAATAAGGGGCGTGGTTTACAATAAGGGGCGTGGCTTACGACAGGGGGCGTGGTTTACGACAGGGGGCGTGGTTTGTGTTAGGGGGCGTGGCGCGAAGGAGGGGGCGGAGTCTGGTCAGGAGCTGAGCATCACGTGAAGGTGCACATGCGCCCTGACCCCCCCCCCCCCCCCCCCACACACACACACACTGAGCTGTGAGAACACACTGAGCCACAGCCGCAGTGACTGCACAGCACCGACACACAGAGGGACACACACACACACACAGAGAGGGACACACACACACACACAGAGGGACACACACACAGAGGGACACACACACAGAGAGGGACACACACACAGAGGGACACACACACAGAGAGGGACACACACACACAGAGAGGGACACACACACAGAGAGGGACACACACACACAGAGGGACACACACACAGAGGGACACACACACACACAGAGAGGGACACACACACACAGAGGGACACACACACAGAGGGACACACACACACACAGAGAGGGACACACACACAGAGAGGGACACACACACAGAGGGACACACACACAGAGAGGGACACACACACACACACAGAGAGGGACACACACACAGAGGGACACACACACAGAGAGGGACACACACACAGAGAGGGACACACACACAGAGAGGGACACACACACACACAGTGACACACACAGTGACAGAGACCCACAGACGCGGTGAGAGGCGATGCTGGTGGTCGGGTCGCGGATGTGAAGACCCTCTCACCAGGAGCAGCACTATGAGGGGTGAGTGTTCACACTCAGCCTCACACTGTCACACTCACAGCCTCACACTGTCACACTCAGCCTCACACTGTCACACTCACAGCCTCACACTGTCACACTCACAGCCTCACACTGTCACACTCACAGCCTCACACTGTCACACTCACAGCCTCACACTGTCACACTCACAGCCTCACACTGTCACACTCACACACTGTCACACTCTCACACTGTCACACTCTCACACTGTCACACTCTCACACTGTCACACTCACAGCCTCACACTGTCACACTCACAGCCTCACACTGTCACACTCACAGCCTCACACTGTCACACTCACAGCCTCACACTGTCACACTCACAGCCTCACGCTGTCACACTCACAGCCTCACACTGTGTCACACTGTGTCACACTCACAGCCTCACAGTCACACACTCACTGTCACACTCACTGTTACACTCACTCACACACTGTCTCGCACTCTCACTCGCTATCTCACACTCACTGACCCTCACACTCACTATCTCACACTCACTATC